CACCACCCTTGATTCAAGCCAGTACTCCCAACGCTGGCCACGATTTGTTGTCCATTGGATTCAGCCTGTTGGTACCTTTGGGTGGCTAGTTACCCGAGGGTGGATCCTTTAGCCTCTAGATATTTTAGAATGTCAGGGCGCCGGTCCCTTTGATTCCCTTCTGTCTAGAAGGTCAATTTGACATAAACCCTATTGATGCTTGTTGTGTCAGTATGGCAACGGAGTATCATATCAAGTATTAAACGGACATACCTCAAGCTGTTGATTCAAGGTGTCAAATCTTTTTCCAATCTCGAGGAGAAAACAGCACATTGTTGAAAATTCCGGCTTGGTTTTGCTGTCGATCTTCCTTGAGTAGTTGATCGATGACTTGAATTCCTTTTTTGGCACATAGTGCATATTGACTTCCTTTGTAGGTGCACATGCATTCATTTGCAGTAGGGCCTTGTAGGCTAGCCAAATTCCCTCAACGCAGTGCTCTCACCAGCCAAATTCCCTCACCTGCATGTACTAGACTAGCAAAAATCCCTCATTGGATCTTCAGGCCAGCTAAAATGCCTCAAAAGCCTGTACCCTGGGGCTAAAATCCCTCACATTTGTCTATATAAGGAGGCCTCTGCCTGCCAGTTGTTCCCTCCATCATCCCACCAGAGGACCAGATCATCTCAACCCACATTACATCTTATATACAAGTGACAGCCATAACAACACATTATATTGAAATACAACCATAACACTTTCATCATCATAACAAGTGCCAAGTGCCCATAACCTGCCTCACATTAGAGATGGTCAATTGAAATCCGGATATCCGCTGACAATTTCAGCGGAAACAGGCATCCGCATCCGCTAGCGGGTATCCGCTGGCGCTGGCGGGTATCCGCGCGGATATCTGCGGATACCCGCCCTTTACTGGTGGGCAAACGCGGTCAAGGGGGATTTTTTTGCAAAAAATGTAAAGAAAAAAAACCCTGCCCCCCTCAGCCTAGAGGGGCAAGGCCACACCGTCGGGAGGTCTACATGCCAGCTTGTCGGGAGGGTTCCTCCCGGCGAGCTGGATTTTAAACCAGCTCGTTGGGAGGGGTTCCTCCCGGCGAGCTGGATTTTAGACCAGCTCGTCGGGAGGAGTCCCTCCCAACGAGCTGCTATGTACATCAGCGCGTCGGGAGGGGTTCCTCCCGACAAGCTGAATTTTACCTTGCTCGTGATCCTGCTTATCATCGGACTAGCGTTCAGACATAAAAGGGCCAAAAAGCTAAGCATGCGGGAGTAATGGCAAGAGCTGAGCATCCCGCAGGAGGTTGTTGGAGAGAAACGCCAAGAGCCGGAGCCTGAGAGCCAGAAGAAGACAAACGCAATCCAGCCGAAGGGGAATAGGGAAGAGAGCCTCCAGACGGAAGAAATCCTCTCGGCTCCCGCAAGGAGCAAGAGGAAAGAGCCGACCCACCAGGAAATGCTTGACTTGGAAAGAGGCACCCCAGCAATCTCCGTCAGACAGGGCGACGAGGAGGACAATCGGTCGAGGAAGTCGAGTGTGGTGAGCCGGTTCAGCCTCCGCTCCTTCTCCCTCCGACCGGCCATGGACATGTCGATCTTCCAAGCACGCAACGACGCGCCCCTCGATACCTTCCAGCTCGAAATCAAGCACCGCAAAAGGCTCTCCAAAGAGAAGTGAGTAAATCTCTCCTGAAACCTGGCCGAATGCTACCAGTCCTGAACCAGCTCCTGACAATCCTTCATCTCTTGGTCTTATCTCTCCCAGTGGCGGTCCCTCCATCCTTCAAGCCTGGACATAGATCGATAAGGAACCTTCGGAATAAACCAGCTCGTCGGGAGGGGTTCCTCCCGGCGAGCTAGATTTTAAACCAGCTTGTCGGGGGGAGTCCCTCCCGACGAGCTGCTATGTACATCAGCTCGTCGGGAGGGATTCCTCCCGACGAGCTGGTCTGTGTACCAGCTCGTCGGGAGGGGTTCCTCCCCACGAGCTGGTCTGTGTACCAGCTCGCCGGGTGGAATCCCTCCCAGCTGGATTGTGTACCAGCTCGCCGGGAGGGATTCCTCCCGGCGACATGGAAGGGGAGCCAGTTGGTTTTTCCCCTTTTTTTGAAAAAAAAAAAAAAAAAAGATTTCTTTACCTCTTGGAACCGGGTATCCCTTGGGATACCCGGATATCCGCCATGATTTGGGGCGGAAAAGGACTTCCGCACCCAAATCCGCACCCGCTGGCGGGTATCCGCTGGCACCGGCGGGTATCCGCCAGCGGATAACGGATATCCGCAACGGATATCCATCGTCCATCTCTACCTCACATACCATTACTGGTTGAAGATAAGCGCTCCCAGAGCTCCCCGCCCTGGTTTTAAAAGCTTTGAACAGCGGCGTTCGCAGTAGAGTCATCACTCATTTTAT